ATAGAAATAATCGACGTTCGGGATTTGTGAAAACCCCCTTGCAACCAGACGCGCTTTGAGCTTGTCTATCTTCCCTTCCTTGTTGGTCTTCCAACTAAGTGGTGTTTTAGTTGGAAGTGGGCGAGCCGCCGGGCCTCTGGCACACAGAGCGCCGGGGGATCCGTCTCGCTGTCGCTGCCACTGCTGCTGTCGCTGGCGCCGTCATCGCCGCTGCGTGNGATGAGGGGCAAGGGGAAGACGAATAGAAATAATCGACGTTCGGGATTTGTGAAAACCCCCTTGCAACCAGACGCGCTTTGAGCTTGTCTATCTTCCCTTCCTTGTTGGTCTTCCAACTAAGTGGTGTTTTAGTTGGAAGTGGGCGAGCCGCCGGGCCTCTGGCACACAGAGCGCCGGGGGATCCGTCTCGCTGTCGCTGCCACTGCTGCTGTCGCTGGCGCCGTCATCGCCGCTGCGTGACCGCTGCTGCTGTCGCTGCCGCTGCCGCCGCTACCGCGGCTGCTGCTGCTGCGGCGGTCGTCCTCGCCGCCGCCCACATCGGCCGTGCTGGTCGACGTGGTAGATGGGGCGACGCTCGCGCCCTCCCTGCTCGAGGGGGCGCCATCGCCAGCGTCGCCCGCGCCCGACTCCTGGGGCGCGGCCGGTGGCGCCGCCGGCGCTACGCGCGCGGGCGGTCCCGCGGGCCCCGGGGCTGCCGTCGTGTCAAGGTTGAAACCTGGTCTTCTATCCACAGGTTCTCCCTCCGCCCTCCCTCCACCTTGGCTCGACCCGCCCGCCCCAATCTCGTCCTCCTCAGTCGCGAATTCCTCTTCCTCCTCTGCGATGGGAGGCAGCGACTGGGGCAGGGCGGCGGGTTGCCAGGTGAAATTGCGAGTTGTGATGGCTTGGGGTTTTTCGTTCAAGATGCGCACGCAATCACGGTTGGTGTTGATTCCCGGGCCGAGGTAAAAACACTTTTGGGCTTTTGGCTCGGACTTGTGTGTGCGCCTGACCTTGTATACGGCAGGGTTGAGGAAAGGGTACGTCGCCCCCGGCGGGGGAGGGTGCCCGTGCCACATCTCGTACGGCGACTTCTTCTCTGGGTTGGATGTGGTGGAGGTGCAGTTCAGGGCGTTGCATGACCAAGCTATGGCCTTGGCCCAAAGGGATGGGTAGTTCGGTGCTCCGGGGTAAAGAGTTGGCGCTTTGATACGGGCGGCTAGTGCTGCATCCTTGATCAGACCCAGTGCTCTCTCAGCTACACCGTTGTATTCTGGACTGTGTGCGGGGGTGAACTCCTGTTTGATGCAGTACTTCCGGCACACCCTGCCGAACTCTCCCTCAAAAACCTCTCCTCGGTTGTCAGATCTCACGACCATGACATCGGACGGGGCACCGTCTGCCCGGTTTTCGGCAAGGTACCTCTCGAATGCCTCAGCTGCGTCTGAT